AAAAAGTAAAGTATAATCACAAATATTTAACACATGGACTGGATGTGTTTGAAAGTTGATTTGATTCATCCTGTAAAGCCCTCAATATTTAAAACAAATATTTACCCCTTACATCCTGCATATGTACTTGTAGAAACTTTGTTTCGATCCAATTGACAACCGTACATGTTAATTGATTTCAGGTACGTCTTCACCACTGATGATTTGGATTCAGTAGCTCCAGTTTATGAGCACTTTGTATCATACTTAGAACATGTGCGACCAAAATCATGGACTGTTGAACACGTTTCACTGGACTTCCCCCAATACTTCCAATATGATAGAGTTAAGGAGTTGGTGTTGTGGAAAATAACATCCTAAATAAGTAATTTGATCAAAAACATTGTGGTAGCACAGATCATTCTTAAAAAGTTTAAAGGAACCAAAAGGACGTTCTGTGAACATTTTTTGAATGTTGATGCTACAAGGGTATAGTGTAATTTTATACATTGATTACTTGATGTTTGCTTGTTGCAGTATTATAGAGATACCATTGTGTTATAACAATTCGCTTCTTGTGTTCAGCATCTTATTGATGCACCACATAACTTTTTTGTGTAGTGTGTTAGGGATGAACTGTGATATCTCTTAGTGTAATGCAGAGTGTGTTTACAAAATCTAATTTTATGTAATTACATGATTTTAGAAATGAATAAACTATTTTCTCTTACAATGACATTTACATTTGCATGTACGGATAAGAGTAAACAAAGAACAAATCCAGTCCTTCGCCGTCAGATTTTGAATCTGCCGCGGAAACGTCGCCCCCCCCCCCCTTTCTTTCTTACTCCTCTCTCCCTCCCCCTCTCCCCGCCGCTGCCGACGCCGAACAGATGCTTTAAAACTTAGCAGCGTAAAGTCACTTTCCTGTCATCTTTGCACTTTGGCAAATCAAGAGACTAACTAGAGTAAGTCAATAGATTTTTGAGAAGAAACGAGTATTATTCATATTTTGCGTGTACGCGACATCGCTTCACGTGTAATGCTGTCTTACTTTTTCCATTCTCTGTCAGAATGCTGATGCAGCATAGGGTTATGGTTACTCCTTTCATTGTAACTTTGTCGAAATTGACAAGATCAGCCGGTGGCGCTAAGAGGTTCTTACACAGGGGTAATTGTAACTTTCCCTATAAGGCCTCTAATAGGTATTCTAATTCTCGAACCTGCAGCATCGTGAACTGGCCGAAAATATCATCAGCTATCGTATCATTAGTTCCAAAGCAAGCCGGCTCTCGGAAAATTTCTCCTTTTTCTAGCGCCAGGCAAGTCTTTTTGGGTCAGTCTTATCATTGTAATAGAAATAGACTCATCATTCAAATACAATCCGACTGCGCTGTATAGTTGCTTTCATGAAATTTTGTGAATTTAACTACAGGGTTATTCCCCACTGTTATCAGCTATCTAAGTAATAAACCATTGCTCTAACAATTTAGTTTACCTTTTATCATAGTTAAATCACTCATCTAGTTACAATTGTGCAGAAAAAAACAAGTATTAGCAAAATGTGATCAGAAATTGGGACACAGAACCGTTCTTTTCCATTTAATATTTTTGTCATTTTGGTAATTATGGGAGTGCAGAGTTATTCATGTCCATCTAGCACATTAAATTTACTCTTGTTCGTCTCTACTATTTACAGATTCCTCAGCACATCAATTTCCAAAATGTCTACTGCAGACCTTTCCCTATTTACATACCCTAATGATACCCCCTTTGTAGAGTTGGATTGTACCTCTGCATTTAATGCTTTGACTGATAAAGAAAAGCTGTATGCCCATTACTTGAGCCAAGCATCGTGGTATGGAGGTCTAATCGTTTATGTTCAAGTAAGTGACTAGTAGTACTCGTCTGTATTTGTTTTATTTTCTTTCTGATTCGTGTTTCAACTTTTATTTCATATTTTTGCAGACCTCTCCTGAAGCACCAATTATTTTTTCATTACTTCATAGATTAATCACAGCAGAGGGTGTTGAAGATCTTAAACGTACTGCCACAGAAGATGGTAAAGCCTCAGAAGAAGATGTAAAGGTTTGTCTTTTGGATATTGGTGAAATTTTTCTACTTGTCAAGTTTTACACTAAACTTTATTTTTAATGAATTACAGGCACTTCTTGTGTACATTGCTGGGGTGTTTGCTAACAGTGGAAACTACAAAGGGTTTGGAGACAGTAAAATAGTACCAAATTTACCTAAAGAGCGCCTTGAGGCGATTGTTCTTTCAAGTGCTGCTTACAAAGCTGACCCTACAGTTATCCAAGCTTTGTGGTCTGCCTGTGCTGAAAGTATTTATTCACTAGAGCCACTGCAGCAGCATTTAGGTTTCAGTGACAAGGGTATTACAACATATTTCACCCCAAATTGTACTCTTAAGGATTCTGAGTTGGTTGGTAATTTTATGAAAAAATACAACCTTGAGGGTTACAATAATAGATTATTTAAGTATGAGGATGGTTCAAGCACAACTTATGAGGTAAGAGATGAATTTTACATTATTTAGATATCACATTAATTACATCTAATCATACATCTATCTATCTGTCATGTCAGATCCGCATGGCATCTGTGTTGGAGAAACACGAGAGCGAACCTTTTTTGATGTCTGACACTACCTATGAAGGCTGTACTTTCAGAGTCACACGGGGAGACTATTCAGGTCTTTTGGATTTAGTCTGTCATAATTTGGAAAAAGCCAAGGTTTGTCTAGTAAACTGGATTTTATTAATTTTGGCAAGAAGGGATTGTAATTATTTTTGTTTCACTTTTTATGTACAGGAGTATGCATCAAATGATCTTGAGACAAAAATGTTAGAACAATACATTAAGAGCTTCCGTACTGGTTCTTTGGATGCACACAAAAGTGGTTCAGGCATTTGGATAAAAAATAAGGGCCCAGTAGTTGAAACGTAAGTTTTAGTTTACTTATTATACAGCTTCATGGAACAATATTTTTAACTATGAGACAGGATTTTGTTTTGTTTATCTAATGAGAAAGCCTCTGACTTAGATTACCGTAATTTCTTTTAAAAATGTCATAATTGCAATTATTGTTTGTAGGTACATTGGTTTCATTGAAACATACAGAGATCCAGCTGGAATGAGAGGAGAATTTGAAGGCTTTGTCGCAATGGTCAACAAAGAAATGTCTGCAAAGTTTGGTGCTCTTGTTGCTAATGCAGAATCATTGCTGAAAGAGCTCCCATGGCCTTCAACATTTGAAAAAGATCAATTCCTGAAACCTGACTACACCTCTCTTGATGTCTTAACCTTTTCAGGGTCTGGCATTCCAGCTGGAATTAACATTCCAAACTGTGAGAATATTATAGATCTGCTAAGAATTTGTTGTGCAACTTTGCCTTTACCTCATGACACAAATAACTATTTTTTCAGATGATGAGATTCGCCAATCGGAGGGTTTCAAGAATGTATCCCTTGGTAATGTTATCCCAACTAGCTTCAAAGGTTTTAGACATCAGTTCCTTTCTGATGAGGATGTTGCCCTGATGGACAAGTATGCTGTGACAGCATTTGAGGTGTGCTAAATTTCCAAAAAGTAAGATGCTGAAACTATGAACTTGTCTGATAAATTATCATATTTCAGGTGTGCGTGGGGCTACATGAACTGCTTGGACATGGAAGTGGAAAGCTCTTTAGAAAAGAGGGTGGCAAATACAATTTTGATATTGAGAGTGTTGTGAATCCTTTGACCAATGGAAAGGTCTGTCTGCTTATATACGGAAGTAATTTGGATTTCTTCTGTCAGTCTCTTAATAACCAAATGTCTGAAATTTGTTTCAGATTACTGCATGGTATGATGAAGGTGACACGTATGATTCCAAATTTACCTCTCTGGGTTCAGCGTATGAAGAATGCCGGGCTGAATGTGTTGGACTCTACTTGTCACTGAATGAGAATGTTCTGAAGTAAGTCACTCTCTTACTTTAAGGTGTTACATAATTTTTGCCATTATTTTTGAAATTTATTCATGAACTTGCTTTTAGGATATTTGGAGCTGAAGGTGACGACGCAGAAAATGTTTTGTATATTAACTGGTTGAACATGTTCTGGGCTGGTGGTGCCAAGGCCCTTGAAATGTATTCTCCAGCTTCTAAAACATGGTTACAGGTTAGTATACTATTATAAGCTTTAACTGATTTCGAAAGTTGTTTTCATAAATCTTCCTATTCTTTTTGTTTCAGTCTCACTCTCAAGCAAGATATGTTATCTTGCGTGTTTGCTTAGAGGCAGGAGAAGACTTTGTGAAGATAACCGAGACAGAACCAGGAAAAAACCTGCTTCTAACTCTTGATAGGTCTAAAATTAAGACTGTTGGCAAAAAAGCTATTGGGGACTTCCTGACAAAACTTCAGGTAATAATAAATGGAATTAGTATTGTTCTTGTTTTTTGAACATATTATAGATATTTAAGGATGCAATTGTTTTTACGTTAGGTGTATAAACTTAATTCAAAAATCATTTAAACAATTTTGGAATTTTCTTTTGAATGGAAGAGTTTATTAGTACCACTGAGTGGTCATTAGGGAGATAAAAGCACATTGAACTTTCAGGACCATATCATCGAAAGTGCTCTAAAGTAATTTTTGTTTCAAAATAACTTACGCAAATTGTTTTGTAACAATAACTATTCTAGAGAGCACTTATTTTCACAAGTGTACCCTCCCATTCAAGACAACACCTGTTCAAGAAATAAATAATATTGTACGTCTTTCTTTTTTCTTTTTTTTTAGGTCTACAAGTCTACTGGAGATGTGAAGAGTGCCCAGGATATGTTCAACAAGTATTCAGAAGTTTCTGATGATGGTGTTTATCCATGGGCCACTTGGCGGTCCATTATTCTCGCTCATAAACAGCCCCGCAAAATCATGGTGCAACACAACACGAAACTAAATGGTAAAACACTTTAAATTAAACAATTGTAATGTAAAAATTTGCGATTTTAAATTTAATTCTGTTTTTTTTTTTTATCTATGTGTAGGTAGTACAGTTGATCTTCTGAAGTACCCTGCCACACCTGAGGGCTTCGTCCAGTCCTGGTCAGAAAGGTTCCCATCATCAAAGGTTGACAGCCTCCTCCAGACTCTCTGGAAGAAGGATGCCAAGAATTTCTATGCTGAGCCTCCTGCCCAACTTGCTGCCGTTTGCTAAGTTTGCATTTACTGCAAATATATTCTTTTCTTTTTGTCAATTGTATGTGAATAATTTTTATTGTTGTTTTTAATTAATTGAAAGCCAAACACATGGCTATTAAAATATATTTTTTCATGTATAG